AAAAAAAAAAAAAAAAATCTATTGATTGTTTGCTATTTGTAGCAACATTTTAACTATGAAGCAGATAAGTTTTGGTACCACTGACCTGGCCAGCAGGGATCCAAGACGTAATTGGTAAGAGGACTGTAATTGGTAAAGAGCACTGGAGACAGTGAAGCACAGAGGGTTGTCTGAACACAGGGACAGGAATATCAGAAACAACTAAGGACTAAGTCATCTGAAGGGGCTGGGGGTGAGATATGGTGGTCAGGACCTTGGACAGCTCAGTTGGAGCTGTTTTGAGATTGTGCTGTCTGTTGATGTGACACTCCAGTTCTCCTTTTGAGTGAAGCAACTCTGCAGAGCCTTCTAGGTTACTCCTGCTGTAGTAAGAGATTGGTCTTGTCTATTTAATACCCTTCCATATGTGGGCCAATGGTAGGGCTACAATTTTTGGCTCAACTGAAAGATTACTCAAAATGATTGTACCAATTTAACTTCAGTATGAGATTTGTCAATTACCCACACTGTAATTTTTGCCAATTTGATTAATTTAAAATGGTATCTCATTATTGTTTTATTGTGCATTTTTCTGATAGCGAAGTTCAACATCTCTTATTACACCTATTTATCCATTCAGATTTCCCCTTCTTTGCATTGACTATTTGCAACTATTGCCGGTTTTTTTTTTCTATACTACTCTTTATCTTTAACTTGTTGATTGGTATTTGCTTGTGTATTCTAAATATTAATCCTTTATAAGTTATAAAAGTTGCAAATATCTTTTCCTAGTCTGTCACCTCTCTTTTAACTTTGTCAGTGGAGTCCTTTATTGGAGACCCATCTTTAATTTTAATGTAGACATATCTATTAATTTTTCCCTTTAAAAAGTGTGCTTTTTTTGAAGTCTTGTTTTAGAAATTCTTCTCTGTCCAAAGGCTCTCTAAAAGAAAATGATGTTTATTTGGGAATAGAACATTGCAATGGTAATATGTGCACCATAGTAAACTATGTGCGTATTCAGGGAGGTAAAGGAAGGCAAAGGTTTTTCAAAGAGAAAATGAGGAGAATTACATAATTGTTTTGAGATAATTATCCTTGGCTACAAAGAGCAGTAACAAGGGTGGCACCAGTCCGAGATTGGACAGGCAATTGTTGGGCAGATATCCTTGCAGAAGTATCTTTTTGTGTGTGTATAAGGTTGCAGTGGACTTTGTGCAAAGTTGTGTTTTTTACAGAGTCCGTTGTGATAGTTCTTGTTATCAGGCATACAAACATGAGAACCCTTCCTTCATGGCCTTCCCTGGATCTATTTGTCAGGGTTTTGTTTTGTTTCATTTTGCTTTTAGAGAGAGAGTCTCACTCTGTTGCCTGGGCTAGAGTGCAGTGGCATCATCATAGCTCATTGCAACCTCCAACTCCTAGGCTGGAGTGATCCTTCTGCCTCAGAATCCCAAGTAGCTGGGACTATAGTTGTGCACCACCATGCCTGGCTAGTTTTTTTTTTTTATTATTATATGCAGAGACGCAGTCTCTCTGTGTGGCTCAGTCTGGTCTTGAACTTCCGGGCTCAAGTGATCCTCCCACTTTGGCCTCCCAAAGTGCTAGGATTACAGGTGTGAGTCACTGCTGAGCCTGTCAGGGTTTTTAACACAAGTGACACCATTTTGATTCTGACAACTTTCACATTTAGGTCTTTAGTCTATTTGTAGATAATAAAGGATTCTAGTTTTATTTTTCTTCATGTAATGAGCCAGTTTTCCTAACATTATTTACTAAATAATGTATATGTATTTCCCACTAAATATGATGTACCTCTATAGTATTAACAATTTTCATATGAAATGGATTTGTTTTTAGGCTCTCTACTCTGTTCCATTGGTCTGTTTGTCTATCTCTGTGCTGATATTACACTGTTTTAATTACTATTGCTTTGCAATATATTTTATCATCTGTTAGGTCATTAAATATGAAATGTCTGATTTCAAATCAAAAGTGTAATTTATTATGTCTCAAACAAGAAGCAGTACAATTAATCAAAGTGTGCACCTAAACTATCAACACAATTTTGCCATCTTAATCTTAGCTTGTTTATGCCAGCAGTGAAGAAGCCTGGAAAGCGAGTGGTGATGAAATCTCGAAAGGCATTTTCCACAGCTTGTGGAGAATTAAATATTTTTGAGAATTAATTATTTTTTCCTTGTAAGAAGTGGTCCAAAGCCTGGAAGAAGTGGTAATCAATTGGTGCAAGTTCTGGTGAATACGGTGGATGACGGAAAGTTTCCAAGTCCAGCTTCTGTAGTTTGAGCAGCGTTGTTAGTGCAACATGTGGTCGAGCATTGTCTTGCAAGAGGTTTGGCCTGTCTCTGTTGACCAGTTGCAGCTCCTTAATTGCAAGCATCCTCATCATTTCATCCAACTGGTTGCAGTAGATATCTGTTGTAATCGATTGGCCAGATTTCATAAAGTGGATAATACTCGTGCTGGACCACCAGATACCATTAGCTTTTTTTTTGGTGAATATTCAGTTTTGGACTGTGTTTTGGCACTTCATCATTATCCAACCGCTGTGCTAAGCACTTGCAATTGTCAAAAAGAATCAGTTTTTTCATCACACATGATAATGCAGTATATAAATGGTTCACCTTTATGTCGTGACAGCAAAGAAAGGCAAGCTTCCATATAATTTCTCTCATGATGCTCATTTAATTCATGCAGAACCCATCTATCAGCTTCTTTACCTTGCCGATTTGTTTCAAATGGTCCAATATTATTGGAATAGTAACGTCAAACCTTGCTGCTAATTCATGCATAGGTTGAGATGGCTTCGCTTCCATGACAGCTTTCAGTACATCATTGTCCACCTTGGTCTCAGGTTGCCCACTTGGCTTATTTTCAAGATTAAAATCACCAGACCAGAACTTCTCAAACCTTTTACATACTGTGCGTGCATTAGCCACATCCTTCCCAAATACTTTGGTGATACTTTGAGTTGTCTGCACTGCATTAGTTCCATGATGGAACTCATGTTAGAATATGAAACAAATTTTTGACTTATCCATGGTTTCACAAAAATTGCTCTAAAAAGAATTTGGAAGATAACCACAAGCCAAAATGTGCATTTGAAAGACCGAGAATGTACCTTTGCAATAACACGAGGCCGGGCGCGGTGGCTGACGCCTGTAATCCCAGCACTCTGGGAGGCCGAGGCGGGAGGATAGTTTGAGCTCAGGAGTTCGAGACCAGCCTGAGCAAGAGCGAGACTCTCTCTCTACTAAAAATAGAAAGAAATTAGCTGGACAACTAAATATAGAAAAAATTAGCCGAGCATGGTGGCGCATGCCTGTAGTCCCAGCTACTCAGGAGGCTGAGGCAGGAGGATCGCTTGAGCCCAGGAGTTTGAGGTTGCTGTGAGCT